AACCATTTTTCCCCAAACACGACAGACACAGCCGCAGCATCCACCTCTCATACACCGATTCTGTCTCTCGTCTCTCTCTCTCTAAGGACGCTCTTCCGCCATTCTTGTCTCTCTCTTATCGAGTCAAAACCCTAAAAAAAACCCTCTGTGCGCCGACCACCGTCTGTCTCCCTCCGAGAGCAGTAAGCAAGCCTCTGGTGCGATTCACCAAACCGATCACGCTTTCTTTTCTCACTCTGTCCCTCGGTTTCAACGCTTCTCTCTCAGATTTGATTCAACACCCCGTCAAATCACCAACAGACTTGAATCACCAATCAACGTTCATCGGCAACAGATCGTGAATCACTCTCGGAATCAGATTCGTGATCAGCCCTTAGATCATGATTCATGGAGTGACCGTGAAGCTCTCTCTCTCTCTCTATATAATATATATTTAGATGATGAACTTGTTGATGAATGAAATTTTCTGAAAATTTCTGAAACTTTCTGAAATTTTTTTTCAGATCTGTTTTTAGATGATGAACTTGTTGTTGTTGTTGTTGATGATGAGTTATATGTTCTGAAACTTTTTTCAGATGATGAACTACTTGTTGTTGATGATGAAATTTTTTGAAAATTTCTGACTTTTCTGAATTTTTTTTTTTTCAGATCTGTTTTAGATTATGAACTTGTTGTTGTTGTTGTGTTGATGATGAGTAGTATTTTCTGAAAGTTTTTTTAGATGATGAACTTCTGTTGTTGATGATTACATTTTCTGAATTTTTTTAGCCGGGAAATGCTCGGGGTCGGGGAAACCCGATCCCCGTTGGGGCGGGGGGTGGGGTAGGACAGATTCCCCGTCGGGATCGGGGCCGGGGAAAATCGAGCATCGGGGATCGGGGACGGGGAGTGGGATCCCCGGCCCCGCCCCGCCCCGTTGCCATTCCTACTATTGCTTGCACTGTTCAATGGTAGTTATAGTTATCCTTACCTAGTGTCCACATCCACACCAAAAAATAACAACAAATTTTGTCCAAAGTATACATAAGAAAGGATAAATAAATAAAAATATATTAACAAGATATTTTTCACCCAATTTCAAAATTTTTAAAATATATTTTAATCTTAATTCTAATATATTAACAAATGCCCTTGAGATAGTTATACAAAGCAGAGCTTGCCCATGAAGTACATAAAGTTGGGTCGAAGAGGCTGATATGGACTGATTTGAGTTTGGCCCAAGAAGAATTTGTGATGGGCTCTCTAATATGATCGGCCCAACCCTAATCAATTAACACCTACCTATTCCCAATTTTTTTTTTATTTTTTTTTTTTATTTATTTTTTTAATAAATGCCAAGCAATTCCCAGATGAATGCTCTTTTGTTCTATTGACTGCAACTGACCGTCTTTCTGTTGATCATCTGAGTCCGATTATACCATTTTGCTTAAAATTTATGATTATACTTTTGTTTGTTTGAAATTTATAAACTTATTTCACTAGTTAATCAAACAGATGACCAAATTGAATCCCCTACAGAATTTCAATTGTAAAAATTTTGTTGAATACTACAAAGTAATGCCAAATTGTTTGTTGATTCTTGATTCTCAAATAAAATCAAAATAATTTATTTATTTCATATTGCTTTCAAATTCATTCTTGGGTTGGGTGTTTTTTTTTTAATTGCTATCTTGGGGTTGTGCTTCACGAATGAAAAGATCATTTAATTAAACTACTGTTCCTATCAAATTATGTTCTAAGGTCGGCTTGTAGGAGCTAATCGGCGCTCTACATTGGCTGCAACAGATAGTTTTTATGATTTTGAAAATTTAAAATCTCGACCTTTTGAGAATGATTATGGTGATGTGGGAAAAGAAGAAGAGGAAGAAGTTTTTATATGGGTTATAAGTTATTTTATTGACTTAGACTTTACAAGAAAAAGTAGGTGAAGATTGGTCTGAATGTTAGGTTCAAGAGAACTTTAGTTGCTTTGTTTGAATGGCAGGTTTGTATTGTGTGTGTTATCTGGTAGCGATAGCACACATGTAAGATAAGATCATACAGGCCATGAAAACTGCCCAAATTTCATTTAGAGTTCGCCTTATGTAAGCAGCCAATCTCCAGATTTATAAACTTGCTGATATACTCTATCTCTTGTTTGGTTTCTTGGTGGTGGTTGCAGGAGCATTGGCAGTCTGAGCAGTGCGTAGTGGTTGAGAGCTGCTGATGGGTCCTGGAGGGCCTGGTGGACCAGGGGTCCTGGACCTGGAGGACCTGGTGGGGGGTTTGGTTTGGGGTCCTGGACCGGGAGGTCCTGGCTGGGGCCCAGGGCCTGGTTGGGGTCCTGGACCTGGGGGCCTGGTGGGGGGTTTGGTTGGGGTCCTGGACCGGAGGTCCTGGCTGGGGCCCAGGGCTAGGTGGGGGTCCCGGATTTGGAGGGCCAGGATTCTTTGCAGGTCCGGTTTTGGTTTCTGGGGACCTGGTGGCTTCTTTGGTGGCTTTGCTAATGGCATATGCAACATGATATATCTTGGTAAGTTTGATCATCTTTCTTCGTATGCAGTCACTGATCAGTGAACTTTGAAATTTTCTCTTTTCATAATGTTGTAGTCAATACTTGTTTTGAGACCAACTGGTAATTTCTTGCTAATCCTTCTCTTTTGCATAATTTACATCCTTATTGTTGCCTATTTATTTTTTTTTTTGGGGAATTTTCAAATTAATGCTATGATCAGTTTTAGAAGACCATTTTGTTTATGGATTTGTTATTGTTTTGGAATTGCAGCATGTCTTGTCTTTGCTGTTGCTGGTTGCTGCAAGGTTGTTTTGGGGACCACCTGAACCCTATGGGCCTCCTGGCGGACCTCCTCCTTTCTGATTTGGCTGATCTTTATACGATTATGTGAATGATAATGAATGATTTAATTTATGTGTAACCTTAATGGTTGTTCTGTGGTTTATTAGGAAATTATGAGTTTTGACTTATTCATTGTCTATGCATTGATGAGTGTGAGATATGGCTATGGAATGGTTGTGATGAAATTTTATGACCATGGATACTATGTTCAAAAGAGAGTACGATCAAGGGAAGAATTATGAACAAGAAGAAGATTAAATTCTACATGAAAACAAATTTCAAAATATTTTACACGATGATTCCGGAAAAGAAAAAAGCTAAAACCACAAATTCTCAACTTCAAAAGTCTACGATAGAGGCAAGAATGTAGCCAATATTGATAATAAAGTCTCCCATGTCTGACCCCAAACCAGTTATCTCAAGATGCAATTCAGGCATTGATTTTTCACTTAAGAAAGAAACAAGAAAAAAGGGTCAAAGCATGTCAACAAGAGAACCAGCATAGCTAGGCATGTTTCGCTCATGATACAAACAATTCTATGTACAGCGCATACAGGGAAAAAGAAGAAGAGGAGAGAAAGGGAACTAGCTACTCACACAGCCATTAGAGAAGCGAAAAAAGTTTCCCGCTCCCAGAAGCTTTGTTGCAAGTCACTCACATATCACAGCACCACAATTTTCTTCCCAGACAAATTTTCATTTATATATAGCAACACTTGCCATGAAAATCATCCGCATTCAGTAATCATTGGAAACAAACAATAATATAAAGCTTTCACAGGAAAAGCAAGCGAGCGAGCGAGCAAGAGAGATGGAATATAAGTTTGACCAAATATCATTTCAAACGTTAAAAATGTGATATAATGAATTTACCCGTCATTTGCTGGAGACACAAGGGCTAGTGACCTGTTAGGCGGTCATTCACAAGCAATCTTGGTGTCAAAGCTACTGAGGCAGATGGCAAATGCTGGAATGCAGAAATTGGATACTGATAATCCATGGTGAACACATCCTTTCCTGCTTTCCAAACTGAAGAATGACATTCTCTTGCTCTTGCCCAGCAGCTCCATCCTCGAGGAAGGCAACAAGCTGAAAGTTCTTCACCGAGGCAACTGTCACTCGTCCATTAAAGTTCAAACACCAGCACTGAAGTTGTTTCATGCCATCTGGGAGCCTTATTCTTCAAGACCAACTTCCCATCTTTCTGGGTGGACAAAGGTCCCGGTTGCAAATTCTCCAAGCGAGTTGATTTTGATCGGAAAAATGGGAGGGAAGGAAAGGAATCCATGTTACCAGTTAGGAATTCAGTTTGTGTGGGGGCCACACCTCCCGTGTTAATCGCAGAAGCAGGGATCGCATCCATGACACAGTTCATCCTTCTTGGACCCCTGTTTTCCACAATATGTCAATATTTAACAAAAGCTCCACACTGCTGAAAAGTAGAAACATATAAATTAAACAATGAAATATCCCTCACAAGCTCTTAGTTGAAGAGCAATGAGGGTCCATTTAGATGAATGAGGATTTTGACATTAATCATTCAAGGAGAATAACTCAAATCTAGATTTGATTTTTTACCTATGAATTTCAAGATTGAATTAAAAACTTATTCATTCTGGGTTAAAATAACTATATAAAGTAGTTATTTGAAATCATGCTAAGAATTCTCTGATAACTACAAGGATCCTACTAAAATACATCTTTTCTATCTCAACTTATCTTCTATAATTTTCCTATGCACCTATAACAGCCAACTTTATTTTTAACCTCAAATCCCTTGATTTGAAATCCACATTCATCTAAATGGACTAATTTCTTCACTCAACAATTGCAAGTCCCAACAAAACGTTAGTCACAAAGCGTTAAGGCTTTTCCTTAAAATAAGAGGGCGTATTTCGGGAATTTATCTTTTACCTGGAACCCAATACATTCAACTCATATGAAATGTGGGCTATAGGATAGTTGCCAGCAGGAAATCTGGGGAGACTTGTTTCAAGCCAACTAGCCTGGTTGAATGACATTTGGTAAATTTGGCTCCGGCAGTTGGAGGCTGTGCATCATAGATTGTAAACTTGGTCCAAGAAAGTTTGATCTGTCAGCAAGGGAAATAGTTTGAGCTTGAGACAATCAAGAAGCAGTGATGCCACATAGTAGTTGAAACTTGAACTCACCTCAACTTCCCAATGTAGGTGTTGCTCCCCTTTGAAATGTCTTCAGGATTTAGAGTGATGATGTAGTCTGTGCATGTTGGACGCCGACACTTCCGTGCAGCAGAAGGAACTTTCCATCATCATTTGAAGCTGTCCATAAATCAGAAATTTGGGGGGGGGGGGGGGGTTTAAAAAGAGGAAATGAAAAATTAGACCGCGACACAGCTCAAACAGGACAACAAAGCCTATCCTTTCCCAAAGCTCCAACTTGAAAATTATGAATGGTTAAACCTAAGTCTTACTGAAATTTAAGTATTAGATTGGTTCCAACAAACAAGAATATGTTATTGTAGGCATCAAAGCAAACAAGAAACTCGAGTGCCAAATAAACATGAGAATGAAGAGTCTCAAACAAACGATGATTAATTCACCTTGATTTTAAACTGAGGTAAAGGTGATATGTGTGGGTGCTCCGATTTCGTTTTATATAACACTGGATGAGAGAATCTCTTGGACCAGGCTGCAGAGAAAGGATAAAACATAATATTTTCAGTATTAGCTAGAACAAGACAGCAAATGCTCTGGTTAAAGTTCAAACATTTCCATATTTAGGGTCCAACTACAGTACAGAAAAATGGTTTCTCTTGTACCATACATATAGTGGAATACCACTCTCACTTTACCCACCAGAAATCACCGTTTTGCAGGTGGTGTCCTCCCCTGGTCCACCTTTTATGCAATGGGAATATACAGGAAAAGAAAAGAGTTAACACTAATCTTTTTAAGGATTTAAAATATAGATTCAGTTTTATAAAAATTTGACATAATTAATTGTATTAGACTTCTTTTAAAATTTAATTGAACATAAATTAGTTAATTTATATTATAACATTTTGTTAGTTGTATGAATAAAGAAATTGATACATTCTTTAACCATTGAAATATTATTTTTCTTTTTTTATTCTTGTGTTTACATACAATCTGCATTAACTACAATTGTTTATACTTTCCTAAATGAGAAGATCATTGTAATTATATTTAACTTAATGAGATTTATATTATATTTAGTAATAAATTACATTCAAATGGTAAGTAGAGTCACATTAAGTTTTAAGTTGTTCCTATTATGGGTGAGCATAGTTCGATTTGGTTTATTTAAGAGTAAACTAAAGACTAAACACAAAACTGCCTACGGATTCATGAAATTTGAACTCAAATCATACAAAAATCTTATAACCAAATCAGATTGAACCATATAAAATGAAGTTCAATCTAGTTGGAATCACATTATTTTCACAACATACACAAAATTTACTCCACAATTTAATTTCTGTAATATAATATGTCGGCATTTTTGCAAATAAAAGTATTTAAGATGATCGTTTAGAACAAAATTCAACTACTATAAAAATCACAGCTTGTAAACATATAGGATTAACAACTTATGTACAAAAAATGTAATACTAATCAAGTGGGTTAATAATAGTAAATAATAACTTTTATATACAATACATACATATAAAACAAATCAACTTCAGTTCCAAATCATAATTGTAACTATAAAAATTACGGACCAAATCGTGAAGTATGATTCGCCAATTTCAAAATTAAAGACCAAAATCATATTTAAAAAAAAAATTCAAACCATGCGGTTTAGTTTAAGATTGAATGTTTACTTACTATTCACTAAACAAACTTTAAAGTTGTGTAATCTAATTTTAAATTAATTTTGAGTTATACAATACTAAAAGTTATTTATTGATAAAGTTATGTTCTGTTACAAGAGTGACAAGTAGATTAGTAACAAATAGTAAATACTAAAAATTGTAAATATAATGAAATATTAAAGTGGTAGTAAAGTCACAAGCGTGGTAAGTTAGAAATCAAAACAAATGATAAATATTGTGCTTACAATTGATAAGTCTCTAATGATATTTTACTTATTACTCAATGACCTCAGTTACTCCTCAATCAAACTATACCTACTACTCATTCATACTCTACTTACTATTCCATCAAACTTGAACGTTACGATTCAATCAAATATGATTACACTCAATTAAGATCTAGTTACTAATGATTGGTAGTAGAATGAAACAAATTGTAAGTAGAGTCACAATAACTGACAAATAATAAATAAAAATATGATTTTAAAATATTAAACAAAATGTAAAGTTTATTAGACTCATTTAGTACTAAAAAAATACCACTTCATTTGACTTGACTTACTATACAAAAAAAATATCCCCCAGTTATTCGGGGGATGGCGGTTCCAATAATTAATCAGACTTAACTTGGTACTATTAAGACATCACTTTATTTGACTTGATTTACTACTCATTTAATTTCGCTTATTACTTAATGAGACATACTTACTATTTCTTTAGACTTTACTTACTTATTAATAAAACTCAGCTTACTAAGTCCATCAAACTTTGAGTAGTAAGTTTAAAAATGAGTAATAAGTTGTTTCAAATAAGTACGTTGTGGAAGGGATAAATATATTGATCCAAAACCCAAAAGAAAGGAGTGTTTGGCCCAAAATCTTGGGCCAACCAACAATCAAAATAAGGTAGGCCCAAACTATTGTTAAGACATCTGATGAAGGACTGTGTCATGTGACCAAGAAGTCTGAAGAGATCGCCCTTCTAGAAGGAAATCCGCAGTAAGAGAGAGCCCCAGATCGTTTTCATAATTAATCGGAGGGGGTTGCAACATGCAAAGATGGGGGAACAGGCTCAGTGTGTCCAAACAATACAACCGTCGTTGATCAGGATCCGACGGTCGAAGCACTGTGCAAGTTGTCTATACGCATCCGAACTAATCTACACCATTCAAAGTAAGCAATTTGACGGTGACAAATCAAGCAGAGTACCAACTTGCTCGACCAAGGTCTGATGGATAGAGTACCATTGGATCAACGGCAGTCATCCAAGATCCAAATGCAAGATTTGACAACATAAAAGAGGAACACAGATAAAC